AAGAGGAGAGGTTTGCGATTGTGACACAAACTTAACTTGAACACAGGAAAATGCCTAACATTAACCAATGTGTAGCTAAACCATGCGAACATCATTGTTACTGACCATATGGATGGCAAAAGCCTGTCATAAAATTTTTAAGATGTGTTGTTTCTGGATAGTGTTGTTTCAGGGGATGAAGAGATGAGATTCTGGTTTGTCTCATTATGGCCCATGATTCATTTAGCCCTACCTTGTTTATTAGTTGAATAACAGATTTCAATCAGTTTATGTTGACTCCATAACTGAAAACAAAAACAAGGCACGCAAGGGAATGTCTTTGAATGCAAGACCTCACTTATGCCTCTATGAAAAGACATTCTAATACAGGATGGTAACAAAATTGCTGAAACATCTGCCTTAAACATCTGTAATAGTTTAGATGAATTGTACCATTATTTGTGCAACAATAAAACTGATTAAATAGAAGGGTTTTTTTCTCAGTGGTATACAGTAATTTTCACCCCTGTAAACACTTATGCCACTTTTGGAAAATGGCATTGAAAAAGGGAAAAAATAGCCTAGGGTCATCAAGTCCATTGCTGTTATATACAAAACATACTTTTTAAGTTCTATTTAAGAGTATGCTTTCTTCTTGGTTTGGGATTGTGATTGTTTGGGATTGTTTGGGAACAGAACTTCACAGAACTGGTTTAAAACCACAGATGTTTGTTTTAACTGTTGCACAACTCAAATATTAAATACTTTCCGAAAAGGCTCATTAAAAAAGGGATCAAAATTTGTATGATCGTTCTTTACTACTGAAATATACTTTGGAAAGCTACAACAAATTCCTGCAGTATTTTGGAGTTAAGAGTTGTTTTGTACTTTGAAGAATTAAGAGATAAGATCTTCATCTTGAGATTTTATTTAAATGTACTAATGTTGTAGAATAAATTGCATAAAGCAAATACAAAAATGTGTTTGTTGAAATACAAGCAGAATGAAGTGGCAATGGCAGTAGGTTGTGTGACCAATTTGAATAAAAATCTTTACCTGGATACAAAATTCACAATCCTTGTGGAATGAGTTATATATTACATAACTGCTCTCCAGCTTAGTTCAAGACTTATGTTTGTATGCCATGGCATATAAAGTAGCAGAACTCTTCCAGTTGAATAGTTGTGTGTAAATATTGTAAAGGATTAAGAAAATCAGCAAAAGTTTGCCAACTATTAGAATCATTCATTGTTGCTTTCTTAGAATATTGTATTTATTTTCACCTGTCATTTCAAATTTCTTTTGCTGTAAAGACTGATGCAGTAAGCTTCAGAATCTATTTAGAATTACTGGCGGAAAATTGTATGGAACATACGTGAAATTGAACAATGTCTCCAGTACGGAATTCTGCACCTGAAGTACAAATATTTCCATGTGTCTGTTTTTACAATTTCAGGTTCTTTAGACAACTGCCTGCATTTAATTTAAATGTAATGTACAGTATATCGTTGATTAAGGAAAAACAGCAGTATGACTTCAATAAGAACCAGCAGACACATGACCTTTTGGCATTATAGGGTACAATGACAATTAAACAAGCATGCTTGACCAAATAATTATATTTATCCTGTAGATATTGCATAAGTTATTGTAATGCCAACTAAACAGGAACTAGAATTAGTTCTATTAATTATTATTTTTTGATTACCTGTCAGTATGCCTTAAAAGTCCATAACTAATATATAACTAATTTCTTTGTTTGGTTAGACATGTTCTGTTTTTATTGTGTGTATTTGTAGTTAAACAACTAATACAATTAATGTTTTATAAATGCCGGTAAAATGTCACATGAAAAAATTCTTCAGCAAAAACAAATGAGCCCAAAATGAATAAACACCAAGGAGACAAGCAAATGGTTTCTGTTTACAATGCAATGCACGACTGCTCTGTGAATCTGAATCGCATATACTGTAAACCTCCTATGTAACAGTGGTATCACAGCAATAGCGAGCTAGGTTTTCATTATTCAGAAGAACTGACAGTTTGTGTAGGTAGACACAGCAACTGCTGCCGCACCATTTGTTTGTAGTATTAACTGCGGCTTGTCTGTGATTTTTGTTTTGGCATGTCCTCTGAAGGATTAAAATAACACCTTTATCTAAATCTAGTTATACTGGAGTATGAGCTGGAGTTTCAGCTGTTGTTGATGAAGTTGTCTGTGAAAATGTTACTTATGGAAAAATAGTCAGCAACACAGCAGGCTTTTAGGATATTTGCTTTTAGATCACTTACATTGTAGAAATCTGACATTTGGTTTCTTCCCTGAACCGCTTTCCTACACTGTAGTACATATTAAAAGAGAAAAGAAACTACCTTTCTTTGAAACTATACATTTTCTTTGAGATGACCTGAAAAACACATCTCTTTAATGATAATTATGCTGGATGAATTAAAAATAATTTGCTCTTCACAGGACTCTTGAAGTGATCTCATCTTCAATTGTCTTTATGTTATGTTTTGGCAGGGCTGACTTTCTAAAAGATCTTAATCATTCTTTGATGAGGGTTCCATAAAACAACAACATGATCCACAACACCTAGTACATTGCATTGAATGCAAAGGTAGGTAAGTTTTGCAATTGTCATGTCTAGTTGTGGAGCATATTGGTTTGTGTAGTCTGAATTTAAAAATGAATTTGACATTCCTCACCTTGGTAATCTCTTTCTAAAATTATTCACAACAGTCTCCATTTGAAACTATGATAGAAGCTGCCACACACCATCTGCCTTCTTTGGAATGGTGCATTATAACAAGACTCTTTAGAACTGGAATTGTTCATCACTTCCCTAAATCTGCATACACCAAACGAAAGACTCAACATTTTGAAATTGGTATAGACTTCAATGAAATTTTGACGGTCTTCCTTTTGCTAACTAGTCACAAGACAAATGAAGGAAAGTGTTTTACCTTTTGCAGTTGTGTGTTATAGAATGCCCACACACCATTAGCTAAAATTGGAATATTTCCTTCCTTGGAAAATATTTTTGAATCCATTTTACTTTTACATTTTACTTTGAGAGGGACCCTAGTCCTAAGAAAAGACAGCAGAACGTACCAGCTCTGTTTTTGTGTCCTTGAAACCTGAGAGAAATTGGAGGGAGTAGGAGCACTTAATGCTGTCCATTAAAATACCAACTGCTACTTAAAAGTTTAGTCCCTTATGCTGCCAAAGCCATCACACTGCTAAGTATCAAGCTTTTTTGACAACCCATAAATCAGGGAATAATTACAGCCTTTGGCAGCTCCCCAAAGTACTGGCAGCTTGTTAAGGTGGCTTTTGAATGCCCTTAGCTTTTATGTAGCTGTAAATGGATGTCAGCTTCATGGATATTTAGTAATGTTTCACACTATCATTATAAAGTTCTGTTTGTAAGGAAGATGGTTATTTACTTGTGGTTTTTAATTTTTTTGTCATTAGTATGTAATAATGTTCCTTCTAAAGATTTATACAAAATGTCTAAATAGTTACAATGGATAATAGCTGCTCACACAATGCAATGAAGTCAGAAAACCACTTGTTTAAAGTGTCAGTAACCTGGATTTGTTCATTATGATTTCAGTAACAGTTGAAATCTTAAAATTCTCACCCAGTTCTAGTAAGACTTCGTCTAAAACCAGACGCTACAAACATTTTCTTCACCACAAACCTTAAAAAAAGATTCTTCATAACAAGAACGCCATGAATTCCAAAAGCCAAATGGTCACAGACCAGGTGTTCATCAATTAGCCCTGTGTGTCCTCTGTACAGTATTTATAGGAATTACACCTGTCTAGACCAGTAAAACATTCACAACACTGTAATGAGAAGCTCAAACATTTGTGTTAAAAATAAAGTCTTGTGTAAACTGATTTTACAGAATTTTATGAAATTATTTAATGAAATGCATTTTGCAATTCTTTGAAAAAGAAAAAATGTTGAAATGCACTTTAAAACAGCCTTGATCATGCATTATTCATGTGACTTTATTCAGTGGCACTTTGTAGAGATGTCTACCGCTGATCAAATCATTTCCACCAGGTGTATTACAGTGATGGAGGTAAACTGATTTTTGCCTCTGCTAAAAACAGTAATATTACAGTCTAACTACAGAAATGTTTTGTTAATCAGTATCTGGATTTGACAATTGACTGTAAAAGGCAGAAATCTGTTCACTGCTTTAATTATTTAAAAATAATTAGTAAGTTCTTTATATCTGAAGTTGAGATGTTTGTAACATTTAAAACAGAGAATCATTGAAAGAGAAGAAACAACTGCCTACAACCTAACCTGTAATGTAAAAACACATGTATAACACATATGGGAAACAATTCAGTGGCAGCAATTAATCTAAACAGCATGTCTTTGGACTGTCAAGGAAACTTGAACACTTAGAGAACAGCTATGGGGAGGACATGCAAACTCACACAGAAGGTATTATTCTGAAGTGCTGTGTTACAGTGCTGAAGGTTCAAGCACTGTAATACTGTAGCTATAGTATGTCATCCAAAAACACACATACCAAAGTTAATTTAATTTTAAAAGTTTTAAAACCAATGTAAATGTGCAGGACTGTATTCAATAAACTATCACTCTTATAAGAAGGATTCAAAAGAAGCAGCTCATAACTGAACAGTACGACATTGTCTTTCTCAGCTCTTTTCCATGGAGGGAAAACATATTGTTTTGGAAAAGTACCATGGCTGAAGAAATGAGTAACTGACCACCTTCTGAAAAAATCTATTTCACAGCTGTGGCTTTGTTCTGCTCTGGAAACTCTTGTTTTAATACCTTAATGTGTGAATTGGGATACTAGCAGAACTTGTAACGTCATGCTGTTTTAAAGTTTATTGTGTTTGCATTCTCCAGCTTTTTGGTGTCATGTAACACTGTAACATGCTCGTAATCAGTGTTCTGCTCTTAAGAACAGTTTAACACCAAGTGCTGAATTTAACACTCTGTGTTCACAATTTGGAAATCTTACCTGCTTCACATGGCCCTTCGTGGGATATATTTAGCTTGGCATCAGGCCTGGCATTAGCAACCTCTTGAAATTTACATATCTCAGGATATGTCTTCCCGTCAGAGCCACACACTGCCTTGTTGGAGATGCACATGCACTGTGGCTCAGGAACTTCCCCTTCTCGCAGGTCCCCCATGTCCAACCTGCACTCCAGGTTCTCCCCGCACTTTCCATAAAAGTGGTTGGTGTTGTCCAGGTCACAGATCTGGCCCTCCAGATTGGCACATTCCCAGCAGCAGTCACAGTGGTCCATAACTACTCCAGCTAGGCAGCCACGAGGTGGAGGGCATTCTTCAGGCCGGCAGTCTGCACAACTTTCCCCTTCTTCCAGCAGTCTTTGCCAGCCACGCTGCAGGTACTCCGGGCCGCTGGGAGCTGCCAAGACCAGCTGCCGGGGTGCTAGGGCCAGGCAGAGCAGAAGCAGTGCCCCACAACAGGACATGTGGTACTTCAAATGCTGCATTTCCATCAGCAAGCTAGGAGTTTTTTTCCAAAATAATCCATCACTTCATGTCCTGCTCCTGTGTTGCTTCTTTGTTTCCTTTCAGGTTGACCGATAGTCATTACACTTTTGTCCCTCCATCCCTTTGGAAACAAAACACAATTTTCTTCTTCCTCAACATAATTGAATGAACTCTTTCATGCAGTGAGTAATTAATATATGGCATGGGGTAGCAGATTATCCATTCAGTAGGTAAAGAAACTGCAACACATGTTTTGGTGAGAACTGCTAATACTGAGTGTGTTTCACGTGAGTGACCAAAACCTGCCTCTGCAAAGGAACATCTTTTTATACTCAAGGGGCTGTCTTTTTTTCATTTTTCAACTTCATGCTTTAATTGTTCGTAATTATTTGTAAACTACCATTCCCTTTTGGGGATACATTGCATTTTGATTTAATTATTATTAAAGTACAGACCATTATGGAGAAATAACAGAAATAATGGAAAGAGCATTTTCAAAGAGGAGACATCACTTGGTTGAGATTAAAAAGCAGCACATGCAAGTACACACTCTTTAGGCTACTAAAGTTGTTAACAACCTCAAGGTTAACATTTGTATTTTGATGCTGGTCAATGACATTTTATGTCACTGGGATATTTCCGTGAGAGGAACAATATCCTAATATACAACTTCTGCAGAAAAGCTCCTTGTTTAACATATAACAGAACATTTCAAACTACAAAGCACAACTGTCTAGTATCTTTGGAGATGCTGGTAAGTAAGACCATGAGGCACCTGTTACAAAATGGACAGACATTAGTTAGTATGTCTGCCAAGGATCACTGCACCAAAATGATGCAGTCTAGTAATTGCTTTCATAGTGCTTACTGAACAGCAGAAATCCTTCCTTGCCATGATAGTATTAGTTTGTGTTCTGTTCTGAGGGACTTATGTATATAAGAAATCTATGTTCATCAGTCTGTTCAGTGACCACTTCTTGTCCCCAGGCACCTCCAAGCTGTAGTTAAATGGATGACCCAATTCAGCTGGCTATTGTGCTTTTCCCTGATGAATTAAGATTTAAATCACATGAACTATATCTGAGACATCACTGTGTGTCAAATTTGCACTCTTCAAAGGATTTTCTAAATCCTAGCAATAATGGAGCAAGACTGACCGAGATCAAATCAACCAAGATCATATGTGAGTTTTGTTTGGGTCAATGAATTGCTGTAATTGCTACAAGGGGTGGAGATAAGTGGTACTGAAACTGCTACTTAATTTTACCTAATCTATAATATGCACTAGATCTAATCTATAATTTACAACTCTAGCTTTGATTTTGTGATTTATAATAGCATAAGATCTCTTTCTGAAATATTTTACTGTAATGCACTCAAGCCCATATATTCTTTAATTTTTTCAATACAAATGTTAAAAAAAAACATATGGCTCTACTCAAATCATATTCAGTATAATGTTTATGAATTTGGAGTGAAGATACATGGTGTGTGAAAGAAATGTTTTGTGTTACATTACTTTAACTACGTTATTAATTCCTACACAGTTTTAAAACAGAGCAGTTATAGTAACTGTAGGTTCTAAAAGACTACAGAATTTGTCTCGTTTATAAAACAGTTTGAAGAACCAATCTTTAATGTGACATTTCATGAAATGTGTAACATTAACCCACTGTTCAAACAATAATAAAAGAACCCAAAGATATGGCATCTTATTTTAGTCTCTGGTCTTATTTTCCTTGCTGTCACAGTTTGCATTTCCTGCTGCCTTAATACCCGTCAAACAGACAATCTAAACGAATTAATAGATTCAGACATTTTGTTTGTCTTATTCTTCCTGGCACAGAACAGGTACAAAAACGTGAGATTATTTTGTTAATGGATTTTGACAGGTTGAGGAGATCCATGTGTTTTTAATCACTGTGATGGATATTAACTTCTTTTTCATCTTCTTCTGCCTTTAATTCATTTAAAGCACATATTTCTAGATTGATACAGTAGAAGCCTTACGCCTTTAAGAAGACACTTTGCCTCACACGAAACTTACACTTCTGTATATTGAAACAAATAGTACTGGGTTGCTTTTAATGTTCCACATATTTTGTATACAGTAGAAATCACTCAGCTCCATAAAAAGCATGGATGTTTTACAGTAGATGGTTGTGCAATGGCAAAAATTGTGTGATTTGCTGATTTCCTTTTTTAAGTCCCTGTGGTATTTATCCTTTATTTTTCTTTAAAGGTAGTCTTAGAACATGCCTTAACTGTTATTGCAGACTGACTCTTTGTACAGGCAGCTTTCCCTTCTTCCTGTCTCCCTCCAAACCATCCCCATCTGTTGCATATGTGCCATGACCCCTGACCCTGATTCCTGCTCTGTAGCTTTAAAACACTATTCCAATTAAGCAAATTAAGTCTTCTTTTACCCAAGAACTATTAGCTGTGCCCAGTTTCATCACTTTCATGAAGTCTCTTAAGATCAGATTTATCATTGAATTTAATTTTGTTTCCTTCACTGAGATTATCTCAAGAGATGAACTCTCTCCAACAGCACAAAACAGACCAGGATAAATACTTGTGCTGAAATGGTCAATTGTTTTTTGAACATTTAATAGTGATGCTATACTTGAAGTTTCTTACAATATTTAATCCAAATCACATCTGTCTGTAGACACCATTGCAAAGCTCACAGGAAAATATCAGAAAGCTCACAATCAAGCTTTTATGAGTTAACCAACACATGACTTGAAATAAAACTATTTTTTTCCTGATGGTTTTTTAAATGTAGCAGTTTTCAAAGTTTAGATGATATTAAAAAGAATCAATCTTCCCACCTCATTTCTGCACATAATTCATACAGTTACAGTACGTTGTATTGGAAGACTCAAAGAAAGATTGTTTTTGTGAGGTAGAAATATTATGCACCAGTTTAATTTTATTGAAGAAACAGATTAACTGCAAGTGGGAAGTTTAATGAGGAAGATGTTGTCGGCTGAAAAAATATTGTTGACATAGTGAAGTTTTTCGCCTTAATCAAGATTAATCAAAGACCATCTGCTAAAGTGAAATATAAATTAATAAATTTCTAATATGCTGATAAATGTGACATTCCTCAGTAATCACAGAGGCAAACTACAGTATGTTGCCATATATTATGAGACAGTGGCTGAGGTTGTTTTGAATATACTGTAAAGTGTAAACCATGCAGGAGATTTCTGACTTGCTATGAGCTAAGCCAGCTTTGCTTTATCTTGATTCATTTCTTTCATCAGATTTCAGTTGAGTTCGGGGTCAGGTGGAAAATTAATGTGGACTTGGAGCCATGGGGGTAGAATATAGAAGATGCTGTGGTTTAAGATTTCAGAAAAATAACATGTTTCAAGTGCACATAGCACAATTAATATAAATAAAATCAGCAAAATATTTCCACCACCTAGTGAATCAGCAAACTTTTTGCTAAGCAATACAAACACTTCAAAAAACTAAAATCAAAAGATCATTTTCTCCAAAACATTTATTATCCCTCACTATAACTCATTTTTGTTCACACATTTCGTAAAACACCTTAAAATCTGTAGAAAACAGATACTACAGGTGAAAATGTACAGAACTACCCTATATTCTTGTCAGAAAAAGTTGTTCAGAATGATTGATCTTGAATGGAATATGAAATTACAACATTTCATGTAAATTTCAGGTTTAAATACACAATGTATAAGTTCTGTTTGGTCTCAGATGTGTTCTCTCTTCATGGCTAATATGTGCTAGGCATACTTATGGAAAAAACTCCAATAATATAACTATGAACCATTTTTAAAGAAGATGCAAATGCTTCGTTGAGAATATGGAATCTTAAGGCAGAATGTATTGCTTACCGTTCAATCTGTTGTGAAGTTGTCAGATGCTGTGGATAGCAGGAATCCCTTATTGAAGGGAGATTGTCAGTCTAGTGAACAGAAGCACTATGCAGTGTTTAAGCAGCTCCTTTCCAGTGGCTATTGCTACTCACAGCCCGTCTCTCAATGAAGACTTGTGATGTCAGAATGAAATGTGATTCCTTCCTTGGCTTTCTCTCTCCCCCACCCAGTTCTTTGCCTTTCCCTTGCTCTCCCTTCAGCTTCTTGCTTCCTTTTGTCTCTTGCTGTTTTCTCTTTCTCTTTTGTCGGGTACCCCTCACACTGTCCCACCCAGTCCTTTTTTATTCTTTTTTGTGTCTATTCCTTTCTTTGCTCTCTTTGTTCTCTTCTTTTCTGATCCTAAGGTCTAAAGCTCCAGCACTCCCTGTGAGTTTGAAGGTCTCACTGTGTTCTGTTGAAAAGTGTTACGATATAGTCAGCTACTTTTGTGGTCTGATGCAGCTGATGATTTAAATGCCAATAAAATCTGAACTGTATTTTTCAGTAAGCTTCACTTCTTCTCTTTATTAACCTTTCCATTTAATCACCCTATCTTCTGAGTGTAGATAACCATGGTTGTTAAAACAAGGTGTTGGAATTTGTTGACGTCCATGTATTTTCGTGGTCCCAAGGGAGCAAACTTACAAAAAAAGGTCTAACACAATAAAATGTCAGCAGTGCTGACATGATGCTGCAGAAACAAATCTCTACACTTTGTTCCTCCCCCTCTTGTTTCCTCCAGCTTGGCAACTCTGCTTGTTTTCTCTCCAAACATGTAGACTTGAGATGCATGAGCTTAGATGGAACCTGACCATGCATGTCAGGGAATCCCATTCCATAGTTCAGAAGACTAGGGGTTGTTACTCTGGTGTCCCTGACTAAATTCCATCTTGGGCTTGCACAATCTGGCCTTTCTAAAAATTCCTCATTAATTCAATCAATGCAGCAGTTTCTCAATTTTCTAACTTATCAGCTGTCTACAGGCTCATAATGTATGCTGCACTTCAGTGGTGGAAGCAGTGGGTTCCCCTTCTATATGTAGAGTGTTTTGGAATCCTTTGGGATAAAACAACTATATAAATGCAATAAATGCAAGTGTTTATGGATTGAGCAATACATGGAGCATTAAATTGAACTTGAATAATTAAAACATTTGTTCATGGTGGTTGGTATAAGGATTAAAAAAAAAATAGAATCACCAATTATTTTTGTCACACCCACCAAGCCAGGAAAAGCCAGTTGTGTATTGTTCATGTTTTGGCTCACAGCTACTGTACAAACCATATGATGTTTAACAGGGGAGAATGAGGAAATGTAGACTGACTCCTTTAACCTTCGAACCATTTTTCTTTTCATACATCACAGGCAGCACTGCAAGCCTGCAAGTTTCCTGGAGGCCACAGGGGTCATTGTGCCACTGTAGACAGACAAAGCCCTGGCCTGTCTGCTGCTTAGGGAGTCCTGGTAATAACATTACAAAGAACTCGAACCCATGATCATAGGATCATTACTGGCTCTGATTTGATGGGTACTGGCTTGGAAGTGGAAGAAACAATAAAGCATTATAGTATTCTCATATTTTCTTTGTGTTGTCCATGCATTTAATTCAATAGGATTAGCTTGATAAGTCTGCTGAGTAAAGAGTCAAGTCAGATCTTAATATTGATTATACTCACGTTACAATTTTGGACATTCTGATCCTTAATTAAGGAGAAGACACAAAATGGATTACTTGATCAGTATATTATATATTGTTTTTAGTATTTAGTATGATTTAAACTGTTATTAATATCCTCAACTGTGTTTCCCCAGTCGGAAAGAGACAATGCAGATGAACCAATCAGCATGAGGAAGCCCAAAATGTTTTTCTACCATCTTCATGTAACTTGAAGTAAAACTATGGCTGAACTATTTTTTATTTTCACATATATTGTGTTTTGTATATATAATATTTTATATTTTATATGCTTTATATGCAGAGAGACAATTATGTCATATAGATTATCTGTTAACAGTAGTTTTGATTTTAAAATGTTTAGTATTGGTTATTTTTAAATCTAACCATCCAGCAGTGGGTGTATCTCTTTACTCCACCCTGAGGTTAAAGTGCCATTCGTTTTTCTAAATCACAGACTGATACTGATCCTAACATGTGACCACATTCTCAATTGTGAGGTTGCCACAGACTATTACATATCTGCTACTGCATGCAGGCACTCATTATGTCAAAGAGTTTAACTATAATAATATAACAGGCCCAGGTAATACAAAGTCAGACAGTCTTTGATGAATGTCTTGTCAGAATAGCAGGAAACAAAAAGAATTATTGGTCTGGCCTCTCTGCCTTTTTTCCAGTGTCTTTACTGTAAACCGACGTGCCAAAGAGAAACACTAGCCAATTGAGTTCATCGTTCCTTAAAAGTGTTTATTATTATGTGTGGAAAAATGTGCTGCAATTGCCTGTACAAAGTTTAAGATTGGGAACCTTTTGCTGTTTTCCAAGGATATGTGCAACTGTTTAAGATATACAGTGGTGCACTTGCCACATGCCTATAAAAAGAAACATTAATAAGAATAGCAGGTATAGAGTTGGTGGTAGTAATAGTAGTAATACAGTTGACATTGTTATAAATGCCCAAATAAAAGTGAAGGAGAAGCTTCTTAATTTCACTTTCCATTTAATTTGTTCTCCCAGTTATTTTTACAAGGAAACTAGATTCTTTTTTACAAGGTAACTAGTTGGGACCCTGCCTGCTCACTCCTCTTAAATCAATAATCAGCCCGTGTCTGCCCTTTTCTGTAATTCTGAACATTCTTGTCCTCTAATTAGATGAAATCCTATCATCTCACACTCATATTGCCTCAATCAGACAGGCGGGAAGCTCTGCCTCAGAGGGAGAGTGTAATAATTGGGATGTGTTGTTCTCTCTTAAGCATGGCAGATGACTAAAACGACAAGCTAATCCTGATTTTTTTGTCACCAGTTCACAGCATTAACCCGTGACGGCTCTTTTCCCTATCACAAAGAAATACTAATGGTAAAATGAAGAATGAGGTCATGGCTTTAGATGTGAAGAAGTTGGCTTTGCTTTTGAAGCTCAAAAGATCTGGACACTTCCCTCCCCTAGCTTGAGCCAATTGAATGAAAAGGAAGTCAAAGTTAAACCTGATGTGCTTGTGCAAGTTCTTATCCATGGACTACTGCACAAATGCCAGCCAAAGAAGCATAAGACAAAAACAAATTGTGGTCTAGCCTCAAAACAGGTGGAGCTATCTGTATCAACTCTCATTAATGAGTCCAACAGCAGATTGTGACAGCAGATGAATGAATTTAAATGAACGGAACTGTTAAATATCTGTAGTGATTTAATAAGATACAGGACACAACCAGTTTTTTTCTAATCCTGCAATAAAATGTCTCTCTCTATTTGGCCTGTTGCAAGTATAGGGTCTTGCAAAAGTATCCACCACCTTCCAATGATATACTGTACCATTTTGTTTAATTACAAATGTATACAGATTTTTTTAAGTGAATATTTTTTAGACAAAACTTGAAAGCTCAAACTGAACTTCCGAATGAAAGAATGTAAATATCATAAAAAACTACAATGAAAATCATTGCAACTAAAATGTGTTGATTGCATAAATATGGATTCCCCTTTGCTATGCCTTTCCAAAATGAGTTTAGTTGCACTAAATTACTTTTACAGGTTACACAACTAGTTGAGCGACCTTTATCAGTATGGGGTTCACATGACAAGAATAAATACAGTACACCTATCTGTGCAAGGTCCCTCAATCAGGTAATGCTTATTAATAAACAATTCATCCATGAAGACCAAGGAGCTTTCAAACCATCTTGGGCATAAAGTTGTAGAAAGGTATAGATCAAAAGAAGGGTAAAGACACCAAAATATTATTTTGAGCATAGTAAAGTCAACGATTAAGAAGTGGAAGGTACTGTATATTGCACCATTTTGACAAAGCTTAGACCAGGCTATGCATCTAAACTGAGCTCCTGAACAAGGAGAAAAGCAATTAGAAATACCACTGTGATACCAATGTCAACTTTAAAAAAGCTACTGGAGCTGGATTGCTGAGTTGAGAGAAAATGTCCATGAGCCAACAATTTCTGGTCACTCAGTAAGGCAGACCTGTGTGACAGAGTGACAGAGTGTGACAAACTTACCTCAAAATCCTGTAGAGAGTTTGTAAAAATCTTTTAAATAATACTGTATGTGGAAAAATGTATACCGGGAAAGGTAAGATTCAAGGTCAAACAGAACTGGAACTGTTTTGGTGAAATCCAAAGCCTTATTACAGTTCAAACAACACAGCACTCCACTCTGTCAACACCACCAATTCTGTCAGGGGGCAGGATTATGTTACAGAGCTAGTTGTCATCAGTAGGGACTCGGAGACTTGCCAGCAGTGAAGTAAAAATATATTCAGCAAAGTACTGGCAAAAATTTGCTTTTAGTCTACTAGATCTAAAACTGGTAAACAAATTCATGTTTCAACAGAAGAATGACCCACTGCTGTGTTGGAGTGGGTTGGAAAGTGCATGTGTGTCCAAGTGTCTACAATAGATTTTTCTGAACATAAGTACTGATTGAGACATTTATTGTTGTTACATTAGCAATCTTGAATCTGCTAGAAAATCTGTGGCAAAATTATCGATTAATGATTTCCAACCAACTTAACGGAGCTTGAGCAAGTTTATAAAGACAAATGGGGAAAAACCACTATTCCAGTAAGCAAAGATGGCACTTATTCAATACAACATCTGTAAAATTGCTACCAACAGTGCTTCAACTAAATGGAGGTTATAACAAAAGTTCGGGAGGGATGAAAACCACCAAGCTCAATCGGACTTGGCTGTAAGTAGTTGGCAATCACTCCTGACAAACCATTCCTCTCCCAAACACTATAAATACCTAAGAGATCCCCATCTCTCTCTTGCATCACACCTCCACCCCATCTCCACTTCTGCAGCTACCCATTGGTCACCCTGCATGGGGGTCCTGTCTCCTTGTCCTATAGCCAGGAGGCCAGCCCTCAGCCAAGCAAGTTAAGCCACAATTTAGCTCCATGACGCTTTCATTTGGGATGTTTGTCATTCCTCGTGAACTATTGATTCAGGGAAGTATACACATGTGCAATCAATTTTTTTACTTTTCCTTTTTCATTGCAGTTTCTGCTGACCATTTACTTTTCTCATTTGTAAAAGTGTGTATACTGTACATCATGTGTAATTCAACAAAATGGACACTTCGTTAGAAAAATCCATATTCTTTTTCGGAACATAGATACTGAAAGAGACATACAGTGTTATTTTAAATACAAATGCTTCACAGTATATGCTAA